TGTGTCTCATGCACTGTCCCTCAGGTTGTGGCATGTGTATACATATTGGGCAGCAAGGTGTGCCTTGTCTCCTTCTCTTAGGAGTATGCTCAGTCTTGAGAGGTCATGAACCTCCTTCAAACCTGGGATTACAGAGTTCAACTTGTTACAGTAAATGTTCCTTACTTCGTTGAATGTTTGGCACTTTAGGAGGAAGTGCATCTCTCTCTCTCTCTCTCTCTCTCTCGTCTGCAGACACTTTTCAAATTGCCCAGTTAGCGAAATAAGAGACTCATGTCAGTCAAGATGGCTTTTCATCCTTGAAAGATTCCCAGGAGAAACCACAAAAGTGAGGCGAGAGCCTTGCCAGAGAAAATGCAAATGGTAGAGCAAACAGATGTAAACGTGGATGTTGGGAGATGGAAGGTATACAGCGTGTGAAATCCTTGATTCTATTCTGGGTGATTATTTGTGTCAGGAGATTTGCTAAAGATGAGGTTTTGAGAGAGAACAGAACAAGAGAACATCATGAGTCTGATGCAACTGGTTCTCAAAAGGCACAAGCATTAAGGACCTAATGCAGCTGAAAGGTTTTCAAACATATTGAGAACTCAATTCTCATTGTTTACAGTGAGTTGGCAGCAAAAATAAGACAAGGTCAGCATGAGAGGTGTTTACACATTTTTTCACAAACAGTATGTGGTCTGGATGAAACATTAAAGCAGGAGCATCTACACTATTCTTTCCTGCTTGGCTTCTCTTTACATGTTTAGACCAATGAGTAAATAAACAAATAAAATAAGAGTGAGTCAGGAGGAAACTCCAGATTTGGGTCATTACGAGTCAAAAATAACTACTTCATCTGTATTATTAAAATGAATTTTACAGAATAATATTTGTGTCTGGATAAATGAGGCATTAAGACATCCAAGAAACCATTATCTAGTTTGCTGGCAAGAAATCATACACAGATACTGTCGGGGTGGAAATGTCCTCTTAATAGCATGTGGTTGGGAATAAGATGATAAGAAAGAGTGCTATGGTTACAAGTTGAAATATTTGACCGCATTAGAGAACCCCAGATAACAATATTACAGAGAATGACTTTAATTTAGACTTTGGATCAATATGATCCACTGTTGAGATGTGAAGACAGAGGGGAGAGTTGGTCATTTCAAGGTACAAAATCATCAAATGTTGTTACCTTGAATTATTGTTGTATATGTGCGTCATTCAGGTTGTTTCAGTTTGAACTACACATGCATATTATTTAGCAGCACACTCAATCACAGTATATGTTGAATGTACCATATGCCACAGAACACATTATGATTTGCAAAACCTGAAGCCTTTTGAATTTGGCACCCCCGAGTGGCCATATAATAGAGAGGCGAAGTCCCTCCCTTTCCGGGGGAGCTCCATGGGACCTTATTTCGAAAAAAGTATGTATTGAAGTCAATGGAGAGAGAAAGATTATCGTTCGATCCCGTTTGAATTGTGCCACGAATTACACATATGATGTTTGTCAATTTAAAAGATCATTTTACAAGTTAAAAAAATAAAAATGTGTGGTAAAACTGTGAAGTAACACTTTTTTTTGTGTGAAACCGCTCAATGAACTACATCTCCCATCTCGCACCACACACCAAGACGGCCGTCACGTTGGCACATTTCACTTCTTTCTTTCAGAATGAGGTGAAAAGTATTAAAAGAGGTGAAAATCACTCCAAGTCTGGGCATGTTGAGAGCTGTACATACACACAAGGGGAGTTAGTCGGTTCGTAAGAGCCAGCATGCGGGACTGGGACTCTGGGATTTGTAGTCTTTCTAGTTGCGTATTTTTCATAGTCTTATATTTCAACAGTTTCACGACAAACTGTGACTTTTGGAAATTATTTTTTAAGATTGACAAACATCATATGTGTAATTCATGGCACAATTCAAACGGGATCGAAAGATACGTTTTCTCTCCCCATTGACTTCAATACATACTTTTTCCAAAATAAGGTCCCATGGGTAGATGTAGATGGGCGGGACTTCGCCTCTCTATATATACACACTAAAACAAATGCATCTTGATTATTCCAGCTTGACTTGAAATAATTTTCCTACAACAAAAACTTGCCGAATCAGATCACGTAAAAAGTTGCTACAATCAAATACAAAGCTATGAGCAGTGGATTGCATAGCACAACAAAAACAACAGATATCCTTCCATGTGGGATATCCCTCTGTGGGAATAAAATAAAGGTATTCTGATTCTGATGGAAATTACTGCAACTCTCTTGAGCAAAATGTGTTATGTCTTTGTATCAAGCCCCCCTCCTCTCCCTTGGGGTTTTTGTTTATTACTGAAATAGCATGAGCATGTTGCGATTTTAACACAAAGTCGACCGTCTGTCACCACCATCTGCCATAAAGCATTCTCCCTCTGTGCGGCAAAGCAACGCGGCAGATTTCCCGCCAAATCTGACACTGTGGCAATTTCTGTTGGTGTGTCAACACAAAACACACATAGCTGTTATACTATGTTTGTGGGGCAGATCCATGGCGTAGTGTGTGTTTACCTGAGCAGACGGAGCTCGGCCAGCAGCATGGGGTTACTGCCGCCTTTCTCCGGGCTGGCCTGGCACGCTGCGTCATGCTCCACACGGAGACTCTTGATCTCTGCCAAGATCTCTCTGGGAAAGGAAAACACATACAACATGGTCAGCTAAGGATGGGCAGAGTTACATGACTGAGCAGACTGAAGAGACAAACAAGAACACACCCAAGCTTCTGCAGGCTTTCACAGAATATATGGAGGAATGTACGTGTTGGAACTAGAGAACACACTTTAAAACCTGACAAGCAGTGGCATTAAGATGCACAAACCAAAACAAAATGCATACTGTATACGTAGAGAGTAGACAAATGTGATATGGTTTTTGTATACATGAGTGATTGTGAAGATTAAACACTAATGTATTGTTTAGGTGTCTTTTAATAAGCAGGTAGTCATATAATTACCTAGAACTAGCTGGATCTGATCGATATGGACATTTTGGTACATTAGTTTTACTGTCGGGTCACTCATTACTGATCCGCGAGCTGCATGATACTGACGGGCTGTCAGGAGAGGGAGAGAGCGCTCCGTTTATTATTCCCGTGTTATTATAAGTTACTGTTCACTTTTGAATAGTTAATCTACTATAATTAGTTTAATATCGAATCATATCAATTTGTTTTAAAGCTCAATACGTAACAAAGAAGACCTTTGACCGACACTTTTCTCATTTTGTCCGGAAGATTTAAACTTTATTAACGGACAGCGCGGCCTCCTGTCCGCTTTATGGACTTTGATATGGGCTGAATGACTGGTGTTTACATGCTTGTGTGCTTCTTTTCTCCTGTGTATTCTATGCTGCGTGATTGTGTTTTTTTGTTCATGTTTCAAGTGTGCAGGACAGGGGAATAGGTTATATCATACCAAGTTGATGTTTTATTTGGGCTGTGGATGTGTATTCATTCTTTTTTCTTTTTTTTTGTATTCTCACCATGTGTGTGGAAACGGCCCGTCCACACTGTGGCGTGCGTTGAAGCTTCAACGCTTCTGCTCATTCACTTTGAATGGGGTGACGTCACGCTTCGCCGAAATGCATTGTGGGGAGCGTAGCTACGCTTTGCTCGCGTTGCTCGCGTCAAAAGTTGAACCATGTTCAACTTTTGAAGCTTCGACGGAAGCGTCAACCAATCAAATCCCGTTTATGAAAATCTGCCAGTACAACTGCTAGCCAATCAAACCGTGTGTATGCTGCGAGAGCCATACCGCAGGTCATTTCTATGTTCCATAAAATGGAGGAGAAAATAATCATTGCGGTAGTGAATCACCCGGTGCTGTATGATCAGTCTCTGTTCATCTACCGGGATACAAACCGGAGGAGCCAGGCATGGAGGGAGGTGGCAGAGATAGTGGGTGAAACTGGTAGGTTTTCGCCTGTTTGGGGAGTTTATATCCAGTGTACCTCGTTTAAACATTGAATGGACAGCTAGCAGGCATAGACAGTATATATACAGTAGCTAGCATGGAATGTTTTTTGCTTTGTATGTCGGGGGCGGGAGATTCATGTGATTGGTTGTTGGTCGCGTTGCTCACGTTGACTCCCCAAGCTTCATACACGCTCACCGCCAAGCGTCAACGCACGCTGCTGTGTGCTCCGTTACGGCCCGTCCACACGGCTGCATTTAAGCCATTGGGTTGAGAAGTCATGTGTGGTGAGCATGCGCAGTCTGTCCCGGAGTGGTGAAGGAGAAGTGTGGTGTGACTCAACAATAATAAACGAGGCGCTATCGGAGCGACCTCACAAAAAGTACTTAAGTTCCTGAGTTTTTGTTACACAGAAGTATCTTTTGAAGTCTTAACACCTCGGACGTTACATTGGTTACCATTAAGAAACTCTGTTCCCTTCACAGTTAAAAACACAACAAAAACTGTGCCGACACGCTTACGAGAACATGAGGAAACACAAAAAAAGGATTTAATCAAAACGAATAACTCGTCCGCTATTCCCACATATCTCTAACCTGTTTTGCACTCCAGCTGAGCGGGGGGGGGGCGCAGCTGAGCAATGATTCCCTCTTCTGTTTGTTCACACATCAAAGTTTAATGCTCTCGGTTAAGGATTATAGCCTGAAGGGAAACTAAGAAGATACGAGTTAATGGAGCCTCAATGACCGTGGGCTTGATAAATTCAAAAGGTGATGTTAGGTTAGAGACTTGCGCGTCAGAGCTCGGTGCACACAGAACTTCCCAGCTGTGTATTTATATGGTGTGTTGTCGACTCACTGCTGCGGCTGTCAGTTTCTGCCAGTCGATCTCTCGTCTTTTTCCTCCTCCTCCGCTGCCCCCCCCACCCCCCCTTGTGCTTGTTGAGAGAGACTCGACTGGCAGAACTGACAGCGCAGCAGTGAGTCGACAAACACACATATCAAAATACACAGCTGTGGGAAGTTTCTGTGTGCACCGAGCCTCTGACCGCGCCAGTCTCTAACTAACATCACCTTTTGAATTTATCAACCCACCGTCATTGAAGCCTCCATTAACTCTATCTTTTTATTTCCCTTCCAGCGTTAATTCCGTCTAACCGAGCATTAACTTTGATGTGAACAAACGAAGAGGGAACTCATTGCTCAGCTGAGTGCCAAAACAAGGTAGAATATGTGGGAATAGCCGGACGAGTTATTCGTTTTGATTAAATCCTTTTTTGTGTTTCCTCATGTTCTCGTAAGCGTGTCGCACAGTTTTGTTGTGTTTTCTAACTGTGAGGGAAGCAGAGTTTGCTTAATGTAACCAATGTAACGTCCGAAGGTGTTAAAGACTATCAAAGATTACTTCTGTGTAACAAAAACTCGGGGAAGCTTAGTAGCTTTTGGAGGCGTCCCAGATAGCGCCTCCCGTTTATTATTGTTGAGTCAGCACAACACTCCTCCTTCACCAACTAGCGGGACAGACAGCGGGGCTTGCGCATGCTCACCACCACATGACTTCTCACCCAATGGCTTAAATGCGGTCAGCAGGAGCGTCCACACAGGCAGCGTGCGTTTGACGGGCTTGGCGGTGGGCGTGTCTGAAAGCTTGGGGAGGTCAACGCAAGCAACGCGGCGACAACAACCAATCACATGAATCTCGTCCCGCCCCCCGACATACAAGCAAAAAAACATTCCATGCTAGCTTTATATCTGTCTATGCTGCTAGCTTGTCCATTCAATGTTTAAACGAGGTAGCACCTGGATTATAAACTCGCAACAGGCGAAAACCTACGCAGTTTCACCCACTATCTCTGCCACCTCCTTCCGATGCCTGGCTCGCTCCGGTTTGTATCCGGTGATGAACAGAGCTGATCATACAGCCACCAGGGGGTGATTCACTACGGCAATGATTTTTTCTCCTCGCATTTTAATGGAACATAGAAATGACCTGCGGTATGGCTTCTCGCAGCATACCCGAGCGGTTTTGATTGGCTAGTAGTTGTAACTGGCAGATATTTTGATAAAACGGGATTTGATTGGTTGACGCTTCCGTCGATGCTTCAAAAGTTGAACATGGTTCAACTTTTGACGCGAGCAACTGCGAGCAGATCGTAGCTACGCCTCCCCACAATGGCATTTCGGCGAAAGCGTGACGTCACCAATTCAAAGTGAATGAGCAAAAGCGTTGAAGCTTCAACGCACGGCACAGTGTGGAGCGGGCCGTTTCCACACACATGGTGAGAAATAGGAAAAAAACAAAAAAAAAAAAAAAAATGAATACAGCATGCAGCACCCAAATCCAAACATCAAGCTTGGTATGATATAACCTATTCCCCTGTCCTGCACACTTTGAACATGAACAAAAAAACACAATCACGCAGGCTAGAATACACAGGAGAAAAAGAAGCACACAAGCATGTAAAACAGCCAGTCATTCAGCCATATCAACAGTCGCATAAAAGCGGACAGGAGGCCGCGCTTGTCCGTTAATAAAGTTTAAATCTTCCGGACAAAATGAGAAAAGTGTCGGTCAACAGGTCTTCCTTTGTTAGGCTATTGAGGGCTTTAAAAGCAATTTGATATGATTCCGATTATTAAAC